GGGGGGGGGGGGGGGGGGGGCACAAGATATTGGGGGTATCAATCTTAAAGACGCTCCCCCACTTTCCCGGCTTAAGGACACCTGTTGTAGCGAAAAACACTTGCGCCCCTATCCGAGGGGCGAGTACTTCTTAGTACTAGTATACTCGTATCGATAATTTTTTCCAGTGGCAAAGGCCGCACGACCCGTATGCTACAGATAGCGCCCGTAAAGAACTTCATGCCCGCCATTCATCGAAACGCTAGCATGTTTAGGCGGGCATTTGTAGCCTGCAAGAGGAACTGCAAGAACCCCAGCCCTGGCAAAAAACAGAACTTCTTGTGGTGCGCGAGCGCTCTCTGTGCGTCGGCTTCAAACTAGAAGGAGGTCCTAAACGCAGGTGCGGGTGTACATTGAGCAGCTGACAATAATATGTGAACATGTACTCGTTGTTTTCCTGTGCTGGCAACTGAGGTAGCTTTTGGTCGATCAGCCGGCTAGCGTGGGGAGATGGTTACCAAAAGGACCCACACACGCACGCGCGAACACTGACGCCTCTTCATGGGTCAGCCGGTGTGCGCGGTCGACGGACTTTTTGTCAGAGAACGGGGTCACGAAGTATTTCTTGGCGTTTTTTGCGTTCCGATGCACGAGAAGAGTATTTACATGCAGTATTCAGTCCCGATCCACCAAACAGCCTTGTTTTTTCCCGATCCACCAAACAGCCTTGTTTTTTCCCGATCCACCAAACAGCCTTGTTTTTTCCCATTTGTTTTCACCCCTCTCTTCCCTCCCTCCCCCGAAACAACTTGCTGGATTCGCCTCGACTCAGGCAAAGTTCCCGAACCCCCCGAGGCGTTTGCCGACCCTCCTGCGGTTCCTGCAGCACAAGGGGCTCACCCCAGTAGACCCAGCGGACCGCGCGGGGCTGAACCCTTTCCTGGTCCCCCTCGTCAAGGTGAGAACAGAATAAAACTGGCCAACACGTCCCCTTCGGCTACACTGTGATTAACTCCAGATAGCACGGGTAGTCTCTCTGTGGTTGTGTTCAGTATGTTTTCTAGGTATAACACGGAGGTTTGGCGAGTCGAATTCGTGATCATGCCGGATCTTTGGAACGAGTGTGAATGACCTTGTTGAGGTGGGAGCTGATGATAACAGGACTTTGGTTGTTGGAATATGCGATTATGCTGGGGGTCTTTCGAACAAATGTGTAGCCTAGACCTTTTTGAGGTTAGAACAGAAAGCAAACACCGAGATTGATTGCTTGAATCCACGATGATGCCGGGTGTTTTGAAGGATTGGGTAGACCTCGTTTGCGCTTTTGCCCTCCCCGTTGCGATTGAGCGCACTTCCTCTCCCAATGTCGCGCCACCCTCTGGTAGTGTGCGCCGTATCGTATCTGCCTTTTCAGTTTCTGTGCGTTCTGCTAGATTGCCGCCTTGAAATCATAAGAACCACGGAATAAACTGATTTTTTGTGGACCGGTCATCCCTCCCTTCAGTACCAAGAGCGGGCGGGGCCAAGCTGCCGCTCGTGACCTTCCCTTGCAACTCCAGGAGTCATCGCGGTCAAGCCGTCGATCACGATCATCTCCGCCAAGCCCGCACGTTAGGTGCCGTAGTCCTTGTTTCCACTGCCTTGCCCACCCTAACCCCCATGCTGCTGGCATGAGGAGTACTGTGGGCACAGCAGTGGAAGCAAAGGCTACGGGACGTGCCGTGCGGGCTTGACAGCACTGCTTGTGAGCGACGGCTTGGCCCCCGATGACTGGCAGAGTGCAAGGGAAGGTCACAAGCGGCACGGCGTGGCACCTGCGGGCTTTGTCCATCGGACGTGGGACGGTGAATTTTTGTTGGATTGTGGCGTTTCGCATCTTCGATTAATTTCGGAGGTCTGTACCGTATCCGGTTGGCTTGGTATCTTCATGTACGAGCCTCGAGGGTGGGCTAATGTTGTGGGAAATGAGTACGAGGATTTCAACGGTAGTTCTAGGAATGATATTCAGGTTATTGCGGGAGCTGCAACTCCCTATTTGTAAGATAGAAGTACCATCAAGATGTTATTGCCATGACACCCCTCCCTGCAAGGAGCCCCCCACCCCCTTTTGTTCAGCCCACACGTACCAAAGAAACGGAAACTGCTGTGCAAGAGAGTAGTAATAAGAAGTGATTCATCACCAAGTTCTTTGGGGATCGCTACGCAAGTAAACCTCTCAACACTGTTGTACCCGTTCTGATGTGCGCTTCCTGCCGGGCCGGCACGGTTGGCCTGCGTCGTTTCGCGCGGCTTGCTCGGTGTTTTGTTTTTCCCAGGACGATGGCGGGGTTGTGACGGGACTGCTGCGATGGCCTACATCGCCGGAGGTAAGGGAAGACGGCGAGTGGTCTCGCACTGTTCATTCCTTGAGTGGCAGCACGGGCGTAGAGAAGTGCCATGGTGAATAGTCTAGATCGAGTGCGTCTCCGCTGCGTGATGGTGGGCTTCGCACATGGAATCGCGCGATGGTCGTTTGCAGCAACACGCCGTGCGTTTCAGCTGCGGAAAGTAGCATGGCAAAAATATTGTCCCTATCGTCCGAGGAAGTTTTCAATGTGCTGGTTTTTGGACGAGGCCCAATCTTACGCTCTGATTTTTTCGGAAATTTTTTGCTCTCGGTCGGGGGGGGGGTGGTCTGCACGGGAAATATTCTCCAGCTGCAAGCGACCTTCTCACGGGTTCCTCGAGGAATAATATTTTCTGAGGAGAAAAAATTGACCGATCCAAGTCTTGTGTGGGTCACAACGTGCTTCAGTTCACGGTTTTGGCTCGTGCGAGACCAACAAGACACCGAGCGCCCTGTTTCTGGGTCGCCCGCAGAGGGCATGTGAATCATCGCTCGCCAGTGGCTGCGGGTTGTGGATGTCGTCGGCCATACGTCTCTCTCTGGCATGCGTTGTGGACTGATCACACTCGGAGCAGCCAGAAAAAAAAAGGCGACGTCCAAAAAAGTCAACACCGCAACACACTTCGGTTCACGTTTACAGGCCGTGTGCAATCAAAACTGGACAATACGCTCTGTTTCTGTGACGCGAGCAGAGGGTATGTGTATGATCACACGCCATTGGCTGCAGTTTGCGGATGTCGACGACGTAAAACCTCTCTCTGGCGTGTGTTATCGACTGGTCACACATGCAGCAGGCGCAAAAATGGCTCATTTCGGCCCAAAGGCAAGAACGCCAGCCGAGCAATGTAGCAGGGTTGACGTTGTCGGCTCGTGTGCGGCCAACACGACGCAGAACGCCCTGATGTTAAGATGCCTGCAGAGGTTTTGTGCATGACCTCATGATACTGGCCCCTGTTTGGCCAGCAGACGGTGTAGTTCCTCGTTCTGGCACGATTGGGGTGTGACCAGGGTATGACCCCCCACATTTCTGAACTCGAAAATATCAGCTGATCCAGTTAACGAAATGGGCCTATTTTCTAACTCGCCAGCTGGAATCCTTGGAAAAATTCGGCCATTAGGAATTTGGGCGTTTGGCATTGGCCATTTTCCTCCGCACAAGACGCCCAAATAATTGCTTGGGCCGAGAAGAGGACTCCCTCCCCAAAAAAAATCCCGAAATAATCACAGCGTAAGACTCGGCCTGAGGGAGGGGAGCCCGTGGAATCCCAAACTTCAGACCATGGTCCCTGGGATTGTGATTTGAATGAAGCGCATCGATAGGGTGTGGCTGCTCGGGCGTGTCGGCAGCTGCAGCACCATGCGGATTTCTCTCCTCTCTGTTGTTGAACTATGTACCTGCTTGGCGATGGAGTAGCGCATGTGGGGCATGCCATTGAGAATTGAACTCCAACATGTGAGCATGTGCAGTTCGAATCCCATCCAATGGCAGCGCGACATCTAGTTCGAGGCCTTCGCAGTTCGCAAAACCTACGCAAGATACGCTGCCCACTTCCCCCACACATTCGGAAAAATACGGCCCCGATTTCTGATTCTTGGTGGGGATCACGCCTTCGCAGATACGTCTCCGGTGACGAGGCCGGGACCAATAATAAAAAAAATCCCTGTGTCAGCCATGTGTCCTCCAGTACCCCCTCCAAGTTTTGCCCGCAGCGGGACAATGATTTTTCGTCGAATAACTCACGACGCGAAAATCGATTGTTTCGGCCTGCAGCGTGGGACATGCGCACGAGCTGCAGCAACACAGAAAATCAAAGTTGTGGCATCGGATTAGCTCAGGCGCTTCCACCGGCGAACACGAATTGAAGCGACTCCTCTTTTGTTTCCTTTCGTTCTACTACTTTCGTTCTTCTTATTCCGTTCTTAGTGTTTCGTTCTTGTTTTTTGTGGATGGACGGATGTCAAGCGTAGCCGAGGCAGCGGCTTCCGCTGCTCACCCGCGGGGGGGGGGGGGGG